GCAGCCTGCTGGCAAATGAAATTTTTAAATTTTATTGTAGTAAGAACAAAATCTTAAGTGTACAATAGAGCATTGTTGCCTATAGCTACAAGGTTAGACAGCAGATCTCTAGACCTTATTCATCTTGCTTATGTCCATTGATGAGTAACTCCCCATTTCTCCCTTCCCTCAGCCCCACCATTCTATTTTTTGATTCTAGGAATTTGACTATTTTAGATATCTCACAGATCGTGGAACCATGTAGTATTTGTCTTTCTGTCATTGGTTTATTTCACTTATAAAGAGAGTGAAAAGTTGACGAATGGAATGGGAGAAAATATTTGCAAACAATATATCTGATGAGAAGTCAATCTCCAAAATATAAGGAACTCCTACTTCTCTATAGCAAAACCCCCTAATAACCCAATTTAAAAAAAAGGCCAAGGACTTAAACAGACATTTCTCCAAAGAAGACATACAAATGACCAACAGGTATTTAAAAATGCTCAGTGTCACTAGACATCAGGGAAACGCAAATGGAAACCACAAGATATCACCTCACACCTGTCAGGATGGCTATGATAAAAAAACCAAAAGATATCAAGTGTTGGTGATGATGTGGAGAAATGGGAACCCTTGTACACGATTGGTCCAAATGCAAAATAAATGCAGCTGCTATGGAAAACATCAGGGAGGTTCTTCAAATATTAAAAATAGAACTACCATATGATTCAGCAATATCACTTCTTGGTATTTATCCAAAATAATTAAAATCATGAGCTAGAAGAGACACCTGCATGCCCAAGTTCATTGTAACATTCTTCAAACAATCCAAATGCCCATCAACAGATGAACAGCTAAAGAAAATGTGGCATATACATGCAATGGGATGCTAGTCAGCTTATAAAAAGAAGAAAATTATGCAATATGTGACCACATGGATGAGCCTCGAAGATTAAGATGATATTTAAAAAGAGGAAACCCCCAATTATTATATGATACCATAATGCCCCTAACGGTTTGAGCGCCTTTCTAATTTGTTTTAGTGGTTCCACCTATTCTTTCAAGTCTTTTATTAAATGATTATACTTCCTCCGTATAATGTGGCAAAAGTCTTCAATATGTATATGTAAATAAATTACACTATATATATGTATATTACACACACACAATGAGACAATGGGGTAGGATGATGGGCAGTTTCTTACACTTCATGAATCAGCTTTAAAAAATATCTTTTAATCAATGCACTGTAAACTGTAATAACAATTGTTATTATTATCATGATTTTTTTTTATTTTCTTGCTCCGAATTCCCACCAGAACTTTTTGCAACATCACCCTCCCACATACACCCTACTGAAAATAAATGTAATCACACTCCAAATTCAAAATAAGTAATGTTGAAATGGTTTGCCTTGTCTCTTTCCTTCATTAGTGTGACAAAACAAATGCTATCAGTACGTTCCTAAAGTTTAAAAACTTGAATTTGTGATTTCGCTCATAAATGCTAAAAGGATTGTTAGAGGCAAAAAGTATAGTTTACCCTGCTTAAATTTGCCTCCTTTTATTTATTAGGAAAGTGATTACTCACATTATTTCACAGGACTAAAATACTATTTCATGTACTCAAAGTGCTAACAATTTCCTTGAGCTGAGTCATTTTTAGGGCCTTTAGCACAAAGCTGTGAGACCAGCTGCAAGTGTCCTGGCGGGGTCCCGGCTGGGAACTGAACTGAAGCATCTGTAACTCACTAAGGACCATGGTACACCTCAGTGTCATAAATGAAGGGAGACAACTTTTTTTTCTCCATTTGCTTCTTTTCCTGAAACCATCTGATTTACTGATGTCAAATATGTTTATTAGTCATAACTTGATACTGAAGATTAAGTGAGCATCTGGATTGTTTGGACTACATTCCTTGTTAAACTTGTGCTTTCTTTCTCTAGTCAGACAAAAGACCCAAAAAGATGGAAGGTAATGGAAGAGTTCTGAGTCTTAGTCACTTTGTCCATTCTTTAAATGTTTCCTGTGGACAGTGTGGCCCTTCTGCTCGTATTCTAGTAGAGAAGCAGTGGGGAGACTGGGTTCATGCCATTAACAATTAAAAGGCTACAGCACAGGCTAGAAGGAGTCAATGGGGGGCGGGGCGGGGGGAAGGGGATTATAAACAAAGGCTACAGGAAACATTGGAATGCCCTTGATGCCTTCCCCGTTCCTACCCAACTCAGGCTATTTAGATGAGATCCACTCTGGCAACCAACTGCTTTGAAAGGGTCAGCACCATTTACTTACCGGATTGAGATCTACCCTGACACAGATCCACCCAGAGGCCTTAAGGCTAAACTCAGGGAGGATCTTAGTCTGGGGGGAAAAAAAGTGAAATTGTTTGGAAGCTGTGTGTGTGTGTGTGTGTGTGTGTGCATGTTTTAATACATTTTTACTGATTTCAGAGGGGAAGGGAGAGGGAGATAGAAATCATTGACCGGCTGCCTCCTACACACCCGCTACTGGGGACCAAGTCCACAACCTGAGCATGTGCCCTGAACCTGAGACCTTCCAGTCCACAGTCCAACACTATATCCACTGAGCCAAACCAGCAAGGGCTGGAAGCGGTGTCCTTGAATAGCACTTTCTTTTTACAGTGATACCTCCATTACATATTTAAACTTCTCTGATCATATTTGGGAGGGAGACATGGAAAATATCGATTAAACCCTAAAACACCTCAGAAGATTGAAAACCAACTCAAAGCTGAAGTTCCGCAGTGAAATTCTGTCTGTGTTTTGCTTACTAAGATTTTCATTTGCTTGGTCTCCCATCTTATTAATAGTAATTCCACCAGCTCTACTGCTACCCTGTACCCCAACTGCATACCTGATGCACTTGCATCCAAATGAGGAAAGTCTCATTAAAAATATTTTTAAAAAATAAAAGCTGAAAGAAACCCAAAACAAAACAAAACACAAATTAAAGAATCACAAAAATACAGCAGAGACATTGCCCAAAGAAATGTCAGTTGTCTATTGACAGAGGAATATAGAGAGTATAGAGATGGGGAACAGAGTTTCTGTTTGAGGTGATAAAAAATTTTGGACATAGAAGCAATGTTTGCATACCACTGTGAATGTAATTAATGCCACTGAATTTTAAAATTATATTTAAAGTGGTTAAAATGGAAATTTTGGGGTTATATATATTTTACCACAATTAAAAACCCCGTAATGTAATGTGGGAAATATTTTTGAATTGCACACTTTAAATGAGTGAGTTATATGGAATGTGAATTATATCTTGATAAAGCTGTTTACAAAATGTCAAGGAGGAAAAAAAGGATCAAACCTCCTGAAAGAGAAAAACCACAGCCAAAGTGCTGTAGTCCCAGCCCTCCAGTTTTCATTTTTAAGAACTGGGTTTGATTTGCTTCTTCCTCCGCAGGACTGCGCTTCCCTGGCAGTCGTCCCATTTTAATCTACATTGGGAGGAAACAGACTGGCAAAATATTGCTGCTGTTGGAATATGAAGCTTATTTGTTTTAGCACTGTGGCTTCTAGAAATCTTGTTTTTTCCTTCCAATAT